AAAGGATCAGATTGAGTTAGAGTGGGTGTGGAAAGTGGGAGAAAACTCGATGCTCACCAAGATCGTGGGGGAGCCCTGGGGTTTTCTCTGAGCTTCTGCTCTCTGTATATTTGTATTTCTTTGGATGCTAGTGCTGGGAGTTGGCACAGAGTGTATTTAAAAGACCGAATGCTACAGTAGGCCACTGAGATTTCTGTCCTAGGCGTGCAGCTTTTCCACAGCAGCATGGAAGTAGCGGTGAGTGCTGCCTACACCAGTGTCTGGATTCTAGGAAGCTTGTTTATAAGAACAGCCGGCATGTTGGGTTGAAGGATGCTTTGCTTATTATTTTCCTAGTCTTCATTTAGGTAGTTGAGCAAGTGAGGAAATGTAGTCAGTGTGGCAGTCCCTGGCCTTGAGGTGCTTGTAACCATTAAGGGAAGATAAGTATATACACTTACGAGGCCGCCAACCAACATTAGGAGACACTATGTAATTATGCGCTAATATGATGGACAGAAACAGGAAATGTAATAGGCCGCTTGCTCATCTGCTTGGCCTCCGGGTGCCTAGGAACAGTTTTAAAGGCTATGTAGATGGTGAGACCCGGCAAAATCAACAACACACAGGTAACAGTTGATTGAGTACTACGAGTCCAACCTGCTGAGTCCATCCTGTTGACTTTGCGACAGGTTGGGTAGGAATATGTATGCCTCCTGTCTTCAGAATCTTTGTCCAATCCCTCCTTTGACTCTAGACTGGTCCACCCATGGGTGCATGTATGTAAAGATACATATTTATGGATGCATGTTCATTTTATATTGTTAGGAGTGAGAGAATGGAGTGGCTTCAGGTTATTGATTACATTTGGATTTCAAAAGACTGAGCAGCAGTGTGGTTGTGTCTGCTACTTGGTTTAAGGAGGAAAGAGAAGAGGAGCTCTGTGGTTGATTCAGAGGGGAAGGAGTTAGTTATGCAAGACAGAAAAATGTACACTGACCTACACGCAAGAAAGCGGTCAACACGGCCTTGGAGGGAAGACCCTCTAAAGTAAGACGTACCCATTCTGTCGGTTGCGAGGCTAGCCTTTAACAGCTGAGCCAACTCTCTAGCGTGTGCTTGTTCTGTTGGAGAAAGCTTAGCGGTTAGAACGAGGCAGTGCACGTGTGCACCCAGACAGATCTTGGTGATAGAGTAACAGAAGTTAGTCAAAGAGAAATCACACACCGGCATGGTTGGCTTTTTCCTTTAGACGCAGGAAACCAAACCTAAATAAGAGAACGGAGAAGTTGACTCAAGGGACTGTGTATTATGTGTATATGCTCAGCGAAGGGCCTGGGAATGTGGTCGCTGGCGTCTACGGTGACACTGGGGATGAATCGATTTGCACAGAGAATCTGTAGTTCCAAATTGGTGGGATTGTTACAAGGGTTTTTTTTTGGGGGGGGGGGGGGGGGGGGGGGTGGTAGAATGTTAATAGAGAACAATATTGAGGTAATTACAAGTGCCGGGTTCGGTAGAGATAGGGGAGGTGATTCTGATAATGGGATTGGGGGCCGTTTCCACTCAGCTCAAAGGCAAGAAAACTCACAGCCAAATGAAAGAATGCCCTTACCTTGTTGTAAACTCACAAGGATCTCAGAGATAAGACGGGGTCTAGGAAAGCGGTTTCCAAAATTATGCTGGGTAGTATTATTATTATTTTTTTCCTTTGTGTGTGTGTGTGGGGGGTGTGTGCATGCAGAGGCCTGGGGTTGATGTTGAGTACCATCCTTGATTGCACGTCCATCCTACCCAGGGAGGCAGGGGCGCCCTGTCAAACCAAGCTCGCCAATAGGGATCCCCTGATTTCTGTGCTGTAATTACAGGTATACCGCTGTACCCTCTTGCTATTTACGTGGGTTCCAGGACTGTTTCCATGTTGTGTGGCAAATGCTTTAACTTCTGAGCCACCTCCCTACTCTTCCCAGGCAATTGTAGGGCTGTATCCAAGGCCCTAGACTGTGATAGACCTCTCTGACCTGTCTTTTCCATGTCTATACATATGGGGGAATCAAGGGTCTTGATTGAATGGATCCAGCATCAGCTTTCTTGCTTTCACTGTCTTGCACCTATCTCCCTGTTCTAGTGTTTTGTTTTGTTTTTTAACTAGTGTTAACTTTCACTAATTTGTGTGTGTGTGTGTGTGTGTGTGTGTGTGCATGTGTAGCAGCTATCTTTACATATTGTTTTTAAGTTGATTCATATCATCTCTGCCCAGAGATGGATAGAGGGAAAAGCTAGTGTGCCTGTGTGTGATGTGTGTTTGTGCATGCCCTTGCGTGTATGGGTGGATGCATGCACTGTTTGTTTGTTTGTTTGTTTGTTTATAGGTGTGTCCTCAGGTAGCTCAGGCTAGTCTCAAACTGGCCATGTAGCCGAGCATAGCCTTGAACTGCTGATCCTCCTACTCCAGCCTCTCAAGTGTTGGTTTTACAAGCATGTGCCATCACACAGGGATACTGTTTTGTTTTGGGATGAAGTCCCTTTGTGTAGCCCAGACTGGTCTGGATCCCTGTGTTCCTCTCTCCTGAGTCTCCCCAGTGATGGAATTACAGGCAAGTGCTTTAACACCTGGTGGAAAAGTTCTAGTTTAGATACAGACTTCTCAGTTGACTGAAAGGTCTTAGGAGAACAGCTTTTCTTGGGTGTCCTTTGCCTCCTCATCCATCACACTCTCTGGGAGGAAGCTGCAATCAGTGAGATGCTTTCTGTAGGTTGTTGTTTTTTTTTTTTTTCTCCACAGTGGGATTAGCCATTGACTCTGGAATCAGAAGAGACTTGAGGGCCCCTGTAGTTCTTGCTTGAGTAACAATAAGCTGTGCTTTAAACAGACCTTCACTCAGAAGCCTGATTAGGCTTTGCAAAGCAGAGCTGCTCAATTTGAGACAGAAACAAGGGGCCTGGAGCCTACCTCCCATTGCTCCTTGGCCAAGAGGCAGCCTTGTGATCTTTGTCCAGTTCACTGCTTGCTTCTGTTTCGTTGGTTTCTTCCTCCTTCCACTTCACCAAACACAGTTAATTCACACTCTGCTTTATTCTGTTTGTTGGAGATAGAACTGCTGACTGCAGCATGAGGTAATTTATAGGTCAATATTATAGTCTTTTAAGAACTGATAAATCCGCCAAGCATGGTTGTGCATGCCTGTAATCCTAGCCTTTGGGAGTGCAAGGCAGGAGGATTGCAAGTTTGACATCAGCCTAGGCTGCATATCGAGACCCTGTATCAACAAAACATACTGGTGTGTGTATGTGGGGGGGAACAAATTAGCCCAGCTCAGTGGCTCATCCCTGGAATCCCAGCAACTGGGGAGTCTGAGTCACGATCGCCACAAGTTTGAGGCCATAAAGTATAAAGTGAGACCCTATCTCAAAACAAATTATCTACAAAACGAACTAAAACATAGCAACCTCCTTTTACTCCAAGAAATCAAGAAGTCCCAAAAGAGAAAGTGCGGTATAGAGTACAGGGGATATGGGATTGGTGGGGGGGGTTGTTGTTGTACACCTTTATGTGACCCCTGACAAGTCAGACATCAAGGGACTGGCACAGTACCTACCATCCCGGCTCAGAGTGCAAGCCTGGATCTTCGCCTGGGGTGATGGGCAGTCAGCCACATGTACGCTCAGGCTGGCTCTGGGGGTCTGAGTCCTGGGTGGGGGAGCCTGGTGTTGAGGTTCCGTATCTCCCCAGATGCACATGCCCGAGTCTGAGATGGAGGAGAGGAGGCACTACTCTAATCTTATGCTTGGGTTCCATCGGACAGATGGCTTTCTCCACCCAGTGAGTGCATCCGCTGGCTCAGAAGAGGGTGTCTGAGGCTCCCTGTGCCCGTGAAAGGAGCAGGGACAGGAAGCGCAAAGCCAGACCCTGAAAGACGCAGAACTTATCACCAAGTAGCAGGCTCTCTTCTTTCTCAGTTTCTTAGATGAAATTAAGTTTCTCAAGGAGAAAATCAACCACTATCCACCCCCTGACCACCCCTACCCCTACCCCCCCTTTTTCAGCCTCAGACTAAGGAAAAACCAAGTATATCTAGTAAGCTGTAAGGAGGAGCACTCAGGGGTGGTAAGGAGGAAGTGCCCTGGCCTCACTTCAATGTGGGGGTTGGGAAGGAAGAGACCTGAGTGAGTTTCGATGCTAAGAAGACAGAAACTCTTTAGCACTTTGTACGAGTTCTTGCTTTGTTCTTTTAGGTGTCCCCGTAGTTGTAAATCTAGAAGAAGTTTGTGCTGTAGCTGGTAGCTCAAGGCAGCCATTATTTTCCTATAAACTTCTCCATCTCACTGAGGGTGGTTAGGGCCCCTCCATTTTCCTGGCCACAGGAAAGCTGTCACACTGGTCTTCGCTTTCTGCTCCTTTCCACCACCATTTTCAGTGTCCCAGGACTTACAGCCCTTTAAGCTCTTTGTGGCTGTTGGTTTTTGTAGCAAGGTTTCTCTGTGTAGCCCTTGCTGTCCTAGAACTCAGGCTGGCCTCTAACTCAGAGATCCGCCTGCTCTTGCCTGTCAAGCGCTGGGATTAAAGGCATATGCCACCACAGCTGACAGGTCCAAGTTTTATTCAGGAAACTGGTGTAACTCTGACGTGCTGGTCGAAGTTTTTATTTGATGCATGATGTGTCACTGGGTTGTTCTTCCTGGACCCAGCACAAGGCATAGACCCCTCAGTGGCAACCTGCAGGAATGTGCACCTATCAGTTGTGGCCTTCAGAGACTGGAGAGACAGGATGTGACTCTAAGAGCATCAGCTCTACAGTATAATGAACATACCAGGAATGCCGGAAGTATGCCTGGTTTATCGTCGGGTGCGCAGGTGCTGTAGAACTGACAGCTTTGGCATACGCCTCCCTGCTTCTGATGTCAAGCTGGTGTGGTACCAGCCAGATCTTGAACGGCGATGATGACAGTTTTTGTTGCCACTGCTGGTGCTTTGCTTTCTCCTCCGTTCCTATCTGACAGCCTCTCTTATTTTCTTTCAGCTTGGATTCCTCAGCACCACCACAGCTCAGCCAGAACAAAAGACCCTGAGTCTCACTGGCACCTACCGCCACGTTGACCGGACCACTGGCCAGGTGCTAACCTGCGACAAGTGTCCGGCAGGAACGTATGTCTCCGAGCACTGTACCAACACGAGCCTGCGGGTCTGCAGCAGTTGCCCTGAGGGGACCTTTACCAGGCACGAGAACGGCATAGAGAGATGCCATGACTGTAGCCAGCCATGCCCATGGCCGATGATTGAGAGATTACCTTGTGCGGCCTTGACTGACCGAGAATGCACTTGCCCGCCTGGAATGTATCAGTCTAACGGTACCTGCGCTCCCCACACGGTGTGCCCTGTGGGCTGGGGTGTGCGGAAGAAAGGGACAGAGAATGAGGATGTTCGGTGCAAGCAGTGTGCTCGGGGTACCTTCTCGGATGTGCCTTCCAGTGTGATGAAATGCAAAGCCCACACAGACTGTCTAGGTCAGAACTTGGCAGTGGTCAAGCCGGGGACCAAGGAGACAGACAACGTCTGTGGCACACGCCTGTCCTTCTCCAGCACAATCTCACCTTCCCCTGGAACAGCTATCTTTTCTCACCCTGAGCACATGGACTCCCACGATGTCCCTCCCTCTACCTATGAGTCCCAAGGTAACTTAACCTCATGAATTACTCGCTTGAGGAAGGCTTTGAGCCCAGTACAGTGGGCTTATAACCAAACATGTTTTCTCTACTTTGCAAAATCTAAAGTCATCTCTTGGAGGAGAGAGCCTTCATTTTTGTGGCTAATTAAATTTGGCTTCTTTGGACTTAATAGAAACATTTAAACTCAGAAGGTTTCTATTAGGAGGAGACAGATACCTAAAAACTAGGTTACATCAAACTGGCAAATAAGAATGGAGAGAAATAAGGACAGCTTGTGACCTTATGTAAATCACTTAACCCCTTCAGCTCTCGGCTTCAAACTTGCCCGAGTGAGTGAGTTTTAAGTGTTTAAGGTTTCAGATTAAAAAGCTATGCAACCTGGAGTTAATCCTGAGTAAGCAAAAACAGAAGCAGAGAGTGTGCCATTATATCTAGAAACTTCAGAAAACAAGCAAATTTAAACCTGAGCAAATGTGACCAGCCCTTACACCTGGAAAAAAAAATGGCAGTGTTTTTCCAGTGGCCTTGACTTAATTCATTTATCTGGTACCCCTGTTTGCCTAGCGATGCAGTCAACACTCAGGCAGAAGTTCAGATTTTGCCATATCCTTTTTTATTGCATTTAGTTTCGATGAGACAGTAGCTACCTTAAATTGTGCCTCGTAGCACACTGCTATGATTTCTGGCCTTCAATGGCAGGGAGCCCTTTCTTACACCCACCATTTTGAAATGAAGAAACAGGTTTGTAGAGCTCTGGGGACTGACTCAGGCCAGGTTCTGTCCCTGGAGACTCTCAGTTCCCATCCCTCACACTCTTTTGTGAGGACGAATTGTGGAAATGTCTCAGAAAGAAGTTCACAAAGCCAGCCCCAACCCTGTGTAATCTTGGATAGAGCTGCTAGGAGCCAGGAAAGTCCAGCCCTACTTTATTTATCAGCCTGCTGTACAGAGTTAGATTTGAGTCTGAGCTTGTTTCTTTATCTTAGTCATATTTCACCACTGAGTCATGAAATAAACTAAAGGTGAGGGAGGAGGAGGAGAATGAGCAAAGGATTTGAATGGAAACAAATTCCCTGCGTAATCCAATCAGTGGAGGCTTGACTAGAGGCAGTTGTACACTTGTCCACTTGGAACTTGAAGTCTAGAGAAGGATGTCTAAGAGAGTCTAGGAGAGCTCAAATATTGGTTCCTTGAAGATGCCCGTGTTCTGGGTACAAAAAGAGTTTAGCTATTCAGATCTTATTTTTTGATATAAAGATGCTTTTAGGACCTTTATGAAAATGTGCAAAGCAATATTTGATCTTCAACGCCAATAGCCATCTCTTCTTTGATCATCTGCTCTCATTTGGAGATGACAAGGGACAGGAGAGAATGTGTAGACACCCAAATATGGAAAAGCTCTTCCCCCCTCCTTACTCTTTTTTTCTAGGCATGAACTCAACAGAAACCAACTCTACTGCCTCTGTTAGACCAAAGGTACCAAGTGGCATCCAGGAAGGGACAGTTCCTGACAACACAAGCTCAACAAGTGGGAAGGAAGGCATGAACAAGACCCTCCTAAGCCCACCCCAAGTTACCCACCAGCAAGGCCCCCACCACAGACACATCCTGAAGCTGCTACCGTCGTCCATGGAGGCCACTGGCGAGAAGTCTAGCACGGCCATTAAGGCTCCCAAGAGGGGCCACCCCAGACAGAACCCACACAAGCATTTCGACATCAATGAGCACTTGCCTTGGATGATTGTGCTCTTCCTCCTGCTGGTGCTGGTGCTGATAGTGGTCTGTAGTATCCGAAAGAGCTCCAGGACTCTCAAGAAGGGGCCTCGGCAGGACCCCAGTGCCATCGTGGAGAAGGCAGGGCTCAAGAAGGCCTTGACTCCAACTCAGAACCGGGAGAAGTGGATCTACTACTGCAACGGCCATGGTGAGCTGCTTCTGTCTGCTTCGCACCTTTAGAGCTCTCAGCCTGTTTTTTCTCTTTCTTTCTTTCTTTCTTTCTTTGGTTTGGTTTTTTGAGACAGGTTTCTCTATGTAGCCTTGGCTGTTTTGGAACTCAGTCTGTAGACCAGGCTGGCCTTGAACACAGAGATCCGCCTGCCTCTGCCTCCCAAGTGTGCTGGGATTAAAGGCATGTGCCACCACTGCCCAGCTCACTCCTGTTTTCTAAAGGGGTGGAAGATCCATAGTTTGTGTAGTCCCGTTCCTTCACCAAGTGCTTCTGGATCCAGGGTGTTCTAGAAAACGATCTGACTGTCTATTACAAATAATGCATTCAGAGGCAATCCCCTCTTTCCATTTCCTTCCCTGGCACTATTGAAATTGGAAAATGTTGTAGAATCAGAGACCTGCAAGTCACTTTGAGGGACTTTGTATTTAACTGTGTCGTTTAGCAAAAGAAGGAATTTAATTCATAGAGGTTTCGCCCAAACAAGGGGCTAATTGTTCAGGTACATGGCACTCTTACTATTGGATCCCTTTTTTTTCTGTTAAAATATATTTTTAAACATATTATTTGTGTGTGGGGGTTGTGTGTGTGTGTCTGTGACATGACATGCTATCAGTGGAACACATGTGGAGGTCAGAGGACAACTTGCAGGAGTCACTTCTTTCCTTCAGGCTTGTGTAGCAAGAGCTTTTAACACACAGAGCCATCTTACCAACCCACACTTCCCTTTTCTATGCCACAGGGCAGAGGGGAAAAAGGGGGGGGGGGAGTCTAAAACTAAATTGCTGGGCTGAAAAGTTTAGATGTGAGCCTTGCTTTTTCATCTGTGTCTTCATATATACACATTCCTTACACACACACACACACACACACACCCCACACACCCTTCCTACCTAAATGTTTAGGATCTCACTCAATCCAGGGAGCCTTTTAGGTGATAGACACCACAGCATGATGGTTTATCTTTGTGTGAGGCTGCTATCCTTCATCCCTCACTTAGAGACTCTGTGTGCTGATAAAGGCTGGAATATTTTGGTCTTTTCTCTTTTGAGAGCAAAAATAGCTTACAGTACTTATTTGTCTCTGCGCTCAGCTTGACTTGAAGGCAGTAATTCTGTTCCCCTGCTGTGGTCGCAACTTCCTTTCCTGAGTGAAGGCTCTGGGAATCCCACTCAGATGTTTCCTTTTCCATCTACAGATAAAGGTGTGTGCTCACCTTCCTACCACCTGCTTTCAGTCTTCTCTATTGCGTGCTGAACATGCTTATACTGTTTGGTCTGGTATTCTATTTTTGGGACTCTATCACAGAGGTATAAACAGATTTTTATCTACGTAAGCACAGTGAGCATAAATGTTCTCTTGTGGGGAGAGGAGGGTAGCTTTAAACAGGATCCTACTCTGTAGCCAGGCAGGCCTTCAACTTCTGATTCTCTGGTGACAGCCTCTTTAGTGTTGGGATTATAGTACAGGACACCATGCCAGGCTAACCTCATAACCATTTAACTTAGCCTTGTGGACCATAAACAGTGCAAACAAATAAAGTACCAATTCAAGGGAAATAACTAGGTAAATGGTAAAGTATGCATGTACAATGGACTGTTTTGATCTAGTTCAAAGAGACATTTATATTAGGTAAAAGGAACAGACAGGCTACGTAGTTTAAATAGTCTCTGCTCTTTTAAGCCTTCAGAGGCTGGAAGGAAAGATGCCAGAGTGAATAAAGGTTCCAGTGTGGTAGGATTTTGTGCGCCTTCCCCTCTATTCATTAGTAACCCACACTTTCCCTAGTTTTTGTAAAATAATAAAAAAAAAATTACAGAAAGTGGAGGGGAAACATTAAAACTCAATTTATTTTGCTTCCCTTAGTGACCTGGGAGAATGGTCAGTGGCGTGCTGTGGCAGCACTGTGCTTGGTACATACTGTCAGGGCTGTCCAACCTTCTCACACTGCAGCCCGAATTTGTCACCTGTGAGTGTGCTGAGCTGTCTTCACAGCTAACCCAGGATGCCTGTGGCCCTTGGGCTGCTGATTGGACAAGTCTGGCTGAGAGCCTGCGTAAACCCTACTAAGGCAATCCTCTGGAAACCTGGTGCCTGGAGAAGCTTCACCCTCCGGGCACCGTGCATCTTTCTAACAAAAACATCTAAAAAGCTTCCTATGTGTGCCTAATTCTAACTTGAGAGAAGTTGTGTGGAGAGAGTAAGGAATACCTATATCCCTGTGAATTCCTATATTCTAGGTTGATCTTATGCTTATTATTGCTTTTGTTGTTTTGAGACAGTGTCTTACCTAGCCCAGGCTGCCCTCAAACTCACCATGTAGCCAGAGCTGCCCTTGAACTCCTTATCCTCCTGCCTCAGACTCTGTAATGCTAGAATTACACACATGTGACACTATGTCCAGCTTAACATTTTACTCGGTGTCATTTGTTCTTTGCTTCTGAAGCCATACACTGATTTTACATGATAGCGTATGGATTATAGATTAACTTGTTATATTTAGTAACGTATAACACACGTCACATGTATATACACATATACCCAATAAGCAAAATAAACTTTGCAAATTGTTTCATGAACCGCCCCTCAATAAATGAGTGCACTTAACAATAAAGATATTCTCTTCATAAAATATTTTTGTAGTTTCCAACCTCAGTAAACTGAGCATCGGAACAGTACTTTGTATACACGCCATTGTCTTTCGTGTTGGCACAGCGCTTAGTTTTCATTCTGTTGCTATGACAAACAAAAGAAACTTGGGGAGGAAAGGGTTTGTTTGGCTTGCACTTCCATGTCACAGTTATTATGGAGGATATTTGGGGCAGGAACTTAAGTGGGAACCTAGAGGCAGGAACTGAATCAGAAGGCATGGAGGAACACTACTTACAGGCTTGCTCTCCATGGCTCTCTCAGCTTGATTTTTTCATATGATTTGCCCAGAGGGCACACCATCCACAATCATCAATCACATCATATCAATCATTAAGCAAGAAAGTGCCTCCCAGACTTTTCTACAGGCCTATTCAATACAGACATTTTTCTTCTTTTTTTATTTTTTATTTTTAAGACTTATTTATTTTATGTATGAGTGCTCTATCTTGCATGTACACGTGCGTACCAGAGAGGGCATCAGCTCCAAGTATAGATGGTTGTGAGCCACCGTGTGGTTGCTGGGAATTGAACTCAGGACCTCTGGAAGAGCAGACAGTGCTCTTACCCACTGAGCCATCTCTCCAGCCCCGAGACATTTTTCTTGATTTAGCTTCCCTCCTCCCAAGTGCCTCTAGCTTTTATCAAATTGAGAAACAAAACAAAAACACCAAAATATATCCTCAACAAACAAACAAACAAACAAACAGTTAACCAGCATATCCATAAAGCTTGTGATAGAAAGAACTTTTTTTATGTAGTGTGTGTGTGTATGCTGTTTGTATGTGTGTATATTTGTATTTATATGTAGGTGGGTACTTTTGTGGCCATGTGTATGAACATGTGTGCACTTAGATGTGGAGGTCAGATGTTGACATCAGGAGTCATTCTCCACCTCTCTCCACTTTCTTTAATGAGCAGGGTCTCTCACTGAGCCCCGAGCATTTGCTCTGCTGTCTTCCATCTCCACCAACTAAGTGCTGAGATTGCACATGGGCCTTGTACCAGCTGCCTTTTCCATAGGTGCTGGGGATAGCAACTCCAATCCTCAAGCACTCCATCCATTGAGCCCCCTTCTTACCCTAGGATGGAAACCTTTTCTCTTGAGTAGAAGAGCTAGACTAGGATCCTATTTTAAGTTGCCCCTGTAGTTAACTGTAATGTGACTGACCTTTCAAGGTTATGTACATCTAGAACTATCATTCCAGGATCATTTTATCCATCAATAGTTGTTGTTATAGTTTGTGATTAGATACATTTATAAACTGTGTTTTGGAGGCGTAGTTTTAAAGTGGTAGAGAACACAGAAAGCTGTAGAAATAAAGGCTGGTTTAGGAGAAGAAAGCAACATATTGTTACTATGATCTTAAACTTTCTTAAATTTTTTAAGAAATGTATTACTTACTTACTTACTTTATTTATTTAGTGTGTTGGGATACGCGCAGGCCATAGGGCACATGTGAAGATTAGAGGACAATTTCCAGAGGTCAGTTCTTTTTTCCTACCTCTATGTCGACCCCAGGAATGGAACCTTGGGTCTTCAGGCTTAATGCTCAGGGCCTTTAACCCTCTGAGCCATCTCACCAGCCTGAGCTTCAAAATCCTTACAGCTCTTTTTAACCTCATGACATGCCTTGTGTCCTTACAACCATATCCTATTTTATAAAAAATAAAATAAAAAAAAAAAAAGGAATGGAAGCATAAAATCAAACCCAACCCAGTTACACCCTTTTATCACTTCAACACGGTGTCTTTCACTTGTGTTTGTCAGGTGTAGGTAGCCCTTCCCATAGTTTTGCCTTCCTGGGGCTTCTGCATTGAGATCTTTATGTTTGAGGTGTCTCTCTAAGGAAGGCCTTTTCTTTCCAAATTGCTACTTTCAAGGGTGCAAGCAGGTAAAATCCTATTACAAAGAGAGGTTCTGTTCAGTAAGAGCCTCTGCAGGTGCACCGAGTTCTCCATGAACAATGCCTCGTTGAGCTGACTGCATTGTGCTCCGGCAGCCGATTATCGCAGTTCGTAAGATCTCTTCCTGGTTCACACTGAATAGCTTATGAGCATGAGGACTGAATGTCCTGGAGTTTTCTGTCAGAGGTCCTGTGAGACCTCCTTTACCCCTGCCCACTGTGAGACAGATATGCTGGACTCTTCTTTACAAAATTATTGTTATTACTGGACAGTTTCATAATACATATAATGCTTTGTGATTATATTCCACCCACCATTAACCTTGGAATCAGTCTTCCATTCTCTCGGTACGCCCTCTGCTATCTAACTAGCCTTCTAGCTGCTTTCCCATTAAAGAAAATGATAGCCCCTCCCACAGCATC